CCCCAAAACCCCAAAACCCCAAAACCCCATATAAGATGACACCGCTTGATATTTTTAATTAATACGAATACAAAATGAGCAATTTTATGGTAAACATGAGCCATATATCTCACTTGCAAGAATGCGAGCCTGCCAGATTATGGCTCCAAGCATGCTCCATAATCGTCTGGATTCAGTCAAATTTGGTTTTTATGGAAAATAGAGATATAAATTACCACAGGTCTTTGAACATGAAACCAAGGCATATTTTATTGAAAAGTATATAAAAAGCAAAATCATCAAAAGCTTATTTACTTTCTTTTTCTTCACCCAAGTTTGAGCTTTCTATCCAGACAAGTGCCCTGATGGTTACTTCGGAGAGAGTGAGAACTGTGTTCCTTGTGACAGCTCCTGCAAAACCTGTTCAGATTCTAGAAGCTGAGAAACCTGAGAGGATTTTATGAGGCTTGATATAATCAAAAAGTTATGAGAAAGATGTAGTGAAGGCCAATATTATGATATCATTGATGATAGTTGATTGTCATGCAATGGTATATGCATTTATCAATGCTTGCACCAGCTATCTTGCTTAAAGTGTCCTCCTAACAAAATTTTGGATATTGATAGCTTGGAATGAGTAGATTCATGAGGTGCAAATCAGATCGAAGTATCTTCAGAGAAAATGAATATTCCAAAGATTTGTAAACTTCCAAATATTTATATTGATCCTGAGAGTTTGAAACCCCTCGAATTAGGAACTTTAGAATACCCATATCGAACCTTTAAATCGGCAGCATCAGAGATAATGTACCATTATAGCCACACAAATTTTGAGGTTACTATTTTTGTCAAGGATGGCTATATAGAAATGGACAATTTTTATTTCATAAATATGACAAGTGTTAAAATCCTCCCTCACCCAGACTACACAGCGTTGTCCAAAAGGGCTTTAATTTCATTTACAAGCCAGCCTCAAAATGGTATATCTAAGAAAGCAAGGTTTCATCTCCTTAAGGATACTTCGATAAACCATAATGAAGTGGTATTATACGACCAAATCGAAGAGAGGGAAATATCCGAATTGTCTAAAACTAAGGTCGGATTCATGCTTGATCGAACTAGCATGGAAATCTCAGATATCGAATTTCATAGCACTGAGTTAGATTTCTTCTGAGTCTCAATTTTACTCCAAAAGAAAGAACTAAAGCTAGGTAAGAAATCTTATAGAATTTGGACTAATAATCATGACTGAAGAGGTCCAAGGTACTTCTTAAGCAGTAAGGTGGACTATTCTCCTTATTGAGGCTCTTAAGGCTAGTTACTTAGAGATTTGTCCAATTTGTATTTGATCATACAGATTTATTCAAAATTTAGAAAATTGTGAGTTACAAAATTTAAAATGGGTTACATTCAATTAACATCAAGTCTTCAAAAATTAAGCCAAGACAAAGTTTGGGTTAAATTTTACATCCGTTTAAAGTTTATCAACTAAAATCTGGAGGATATTCGAAATCACTTCTTTGCAGCATCTTTTATTACCAAAGACCTTTCTGTCACTAGAATAACTTGCTTTCTTTGACTTCATACTTAATTTTTTTTTCATCCAAAAGCCAAAGAAATGAATATTTTCAAGGCTGGAAGGGCAAAAAGTAAGTAGGAAGGCAAAGGAAAGCAAATTATGCCGGCTGCACATAGGTCTTTAGCAATAGTAAGGGTTAAGATAGCTTTGAGAAGGTTCTCTTCCTCGAGAAATATGTAATTTTAGTTTATTCCTTAATATTCCATATCAGATTTTCAATCATATTTGCTTTTAATATCATCATTTACGCCATGTTGTTTCCAAAAGAATTTACTACACTTTTGGAAATTTTTGATCATCAATAAAAATTATTTCTCTAAAGCTTAAGACTAATAAAATATCACTGATTTCCCTTCTACAAGTGAGAGGACTTTCTGTGCATAGCAGGAATCTTTAGGGGAGGTTAGAATTCTGCTTAGCTAAAATTTGAAAATATCAAGCTTAAAGACTTGTATAAAAGGTGGCTAATTTCTAAAAAATATGTAAAACTAATTCTAAATTTAGTGAATATGAGCTTCAATGTGACAGGAGAGGCAATTACAAGTTTAGATCCAATGGACATTCATTTTGAGAACTTAACACTAGATGTGAAGTATAGTGCTCGTTTCTTCTCTCCCTTGGTAGTATTCTGAAATTATCCTGAAGCTTCAACTGAGAACACTATTTTTGCTAAAGACATCACTCCAAGTGTTTCTATGAAAGAGCCGGAGTATCACTACGCAGTTTTCCAGTCTGTCATGCCTGGCAATCATACTTTAATTAATTTTGATTGAAGAGGAAACCCTATCAATTATAACCTCCTAGCATGAATGGTTGTAGGTTACAGTCCAACATGAGTTCCTGATGATGACGTGCCTCAAATTCTGAAGTTTGATACAGCTATTTTTGATGGGAGTGTAGTAAATAAAGGACAAGGATACATGTTTGTCGCTTTGGTTACAGCATTTACACCTCCAAATAGGCAAGTCTTTATAGATGCCACAAACTTCCATTTCTATAACATCAGCCAATTCTGGAGTTATGGGATGATATATCTCTACGGATCAGGTACAGAGATTGCTACACTTTCAAATTTTAAATTTCATAATGTCTCATGTAATATGTTCCTGGCTGAAATTTTAGCTGCGGCAGATTTAAAAATTAAAAATTTCACTATGGAAGATAGCCTTATGCATCCAGCAGAAATGCTAAAGATCAATACTTATGGGGATATTCGAATAGGAGACATTTACTTCAGAAATTTTAGCAATGAAGGCTTTGAGCCATCTTCTTTATTCTCACTTTCTTTTCCTGAAACTAATTCAATAATTCTGAATAATCTGAACTTCGAGAGTATGAAAATAACCTCTGTTCCTGTGATTCAAATCAAAGCTAGCCCAGTGCTGGTTACTTTAAGCAATGTTAACTTCAAGGACTTTAAAGCTCCAAACGATGAATCTTTGTTGAACTTCTTGTACATAAATTCTCTGTTAATATCCAATGTGACATTGGAAAATGTAAGCCCGATTAGTTCTACTGGTGAAACTGAGAGGATTGTCAAGATAGCAAATTTAAACCTTGATGCAATGAATACCTTTCAGTTTGAGAACTTTTCGATATCTAACTCTTCTCTCTCACTGTTCAATGTTGGAAGCTTATCGAAAAATGTGAACATTGAGAGATACATGACCTTTAATAATATTGGATATTTTGGATGTAATATTCCTTCTCCTAGGGCATTAATTTCTACTGATGGATTTGCTGGAGAACTTAATCTTCATATGAGATTCAACAAACTGAAGTTCGAAAATGTAGACTTTGTAACTACTGGGTCTTTGATTGAGCTTAAACATCTACTTCCTACGGTTGTTTACATTCAAGATTCAGTAATAACTGGAGGCAACTCTGGATCTATCACTGCTGAAGGAAGGAAACTTTCAAGCAACCTCAACACTAATTTCAAATTTGTCAGTTCTACTTTTGCAAATGTGACAACTATGTTGGCTCCTTTCATCTCTACAAGCAAAAGAGTAACTTTGGATATTGAAAACAGTTCGTTCACTGGCTTTACATCAACGAACCTTATTTCAGGGGTATTTAGAGCATCTGATAGATCTCAGATCAACATCCAAAACTCAATATTACAAAATAACTCAGCTGTTATATCTCCAGTATTTAGAGCTGAGACTGAAGGAAGCATCATGTGAACTAATTGTATGATATTCAACAATTTTGGAATCACAAATGGAATTTTTGAGATTGCTTCAGGAGGAGTTCTAGAGGTTCACCAAAGTGAAATTCATAATAATTATGCATTACAGTATGCAATTGGGACATTCTTCTCAGCTTTTACACCCTCTATCATAAGCAACACCAAAATCTATTCAAATGGAGGAATTATGCAGAATGATTTAGAGATTGAGCTTTCTTCAGGATGAACCAAGTTATGATTTTTGAGCGATCTCATGAAGACTTATTTAGAAAATGTAGACTTTAGCACAATTACTGAGTCAGATACTCTGATGCAAATACTGCAAGCTAGAGTCCATATCATTAACAATACGCATATTTATGACAGTATCTCAGCTATTTATAGTTTTTCTTCTACATTTCTAGTCGAAAATTCTTTGATATATGGCATAGATTTTGCTAGAGCCCCGATTAATCTAATTTCTACTGCAACTACTTTGACCAACCTCACAATAGCTAATTGATCAAGGTCGAACCTTCAAGATGATATTGCCTTTATTCAGGTCACTTCTGGATCTTTAGAGTCTTTCAGCTTAAAGTTGGTGAACTCAAATTTTAGGGTAGCTCAATTATCATTTTCTAAGGGAATCATGAATAACACCCAATTGACAGATGTATCTAACGAGAAAGGCCTTATTGGATGTCTGAACTGTGACCAATTTGAAGTTGATACTCTGCTTTTAGAAAATTCTAATGCAACAGCTGGATCCTTAATTAGCACTCAAGGAGCTAACAATGTTGAGCTTCGTAACATTAAACTTTCTGGTTATCAGTATAAAATTGCTCAATTTATTACCTCTACTGTTTCTCTGATCCAGAACTTAGATATTAGTAATGGAAAGCAGCCTTTAGAGTTTTCTGACTCTAACATCCTCAAGATAACAAATTGAACATTCTCTAATAATATTGAGATTGCAACAAGCAAAGGAGGAGCTATCAATATTGTAGACAGCAGTGTCTGGATCGAGAACACGACATTTAAGGATAACTCAGCATATTCTGGAGGCGCTATTAACTTTGCTTGCACTAGTATGACAAACTGAAATTTGAATATTGAGAATTCAAAATTCTTGGGAAATAATGCTCAAGTCAGTGGGGGTGCAATTTACTATAATTACAACTACCCAAGAGTAACTAGTTCAGAATTTATCAATAATACAGCAGCTTATGGACCAGATTTTGCAAGCTACCCTGCTAAGATTGGATTAGCTGATAGCTCACCTGATGAAGATATTTCACTGAAAGATATTGGCTCAGGAATCACTATCAATGAAATTATTAAACTGGCAATCTTTGATGTTGACAATCAAATCATGAACCTAGATCATTCGAGCCAGATAATTATTCTACAAAAGAACACTTCTGAAGCATATATCAAAGGAACAAATGTGGTTTCAGTTGATAATGGAATTGCTAAGTTTGACAATATTGCAGCTGTTGCCTACAATAAAATTAATAGCTCAGAATTTACTTTGAACTCAAAATCAATCGACATTAACAAAGTTAATGAAGTATTAGGCGAGTCATTCACTCAAAAGAACTTGCACATTAACTTCAGAGGCTGACAGCCAGGAGAGAGAATCCTTGGAGATGAGTGAGAAGCATGAGCAGTAGGCACATATTCACTGCAATGGAATTCTACCGAATGAACGGACTGAGACCTGAATGCAGATTGACTGGGTGGTAATAAAATATCGCTCCGCCCAGGCCACTGGAGAAGATACTTAAACTCTAGTAAAATTCTTGAATGAATTGTCAAAGACGCTTGTAAAGGAGGATTTGTAGATACCGAAAACGACTCTAGCACCACTAAGTATGTTACTTTCCATCTTCACCTTACTACTTTCTCCTCCTTCCCTTAACATCCCTACCCCAACTCCTCCTCAAAATGTTCATCCACCCCCTCTACCCCATCCACCATGCCCTAACACCCCATACAGCTCCCAGTCCACCCACCCGACCAACTGCGCAGAAGGCTACACAGGCTATCTCTGTTCCGAATGTGTGGTCACTCCCGACATAAAGTACGAAAGAGTCAATGAGCACGAGTGAAGGAAGTGTCCGAATTATCTACTGAATGCAGTCCAAGTTGTGCTAACTGCTATCGCTGTCTTATTGTTTTACATATTTCTAGTCGTCATTAATGTGAGAAAAACTGATGAGAGTGAGCTATCGACCCTTTTAAGAATTCTTACTAATTATCTCCAGCTAATAACTGTGTCAGTATCAATGACCAGTGATTACCCAGCTGGATTAGTTGCCATAACAGTCCCTATGAGATTGTTTGGAGGATCTACTGATGCATTCATGTCATTTGACTGCTTTATTAAAGAATCACAAGTTAAGCCTCTATTTGACTCTAACGCAATCTTTAAATTATTCCTGATGAGCTTCTTACCCATAATCTTATTCATTATCATTGCATTGATGTGGGTCTTTATCAGATGGATCAAGCCAGCATGGTGCTTAAATATGAATAGAGCTCTTGTGATATCTTTCATCACAATTGTATTTGTTTTGCACCCAAAGCTAACAGAGAGAAGTATCAGCCTTTTCAAATGTATTGAAATAGATGAAGGATACAAAGCAGCAAGAGTCGATACTAACATTGAATGATTCTCTCCAACACATCTGAAATGGTGATTATTAGTTGCAGTACCAATCTTAATTATATGGGTCATTGGTTGTCCTTTAATAGCCTACATTGTTATTCACAAAGAGAAGAATAAGCCAAACAGTAAAATCATGGGATATTGCTTAGTACTTTACCAAGGTCTCAAACCTGAAGCCATATATTGGGAATTTGTCAATACTGTCAGAAAGATAGCTATCCTGTTATCACTTCTCTTCGAACTGAATGTTGCAATTAATATATCTTTGATTATACTACTGTTATCAGCTCGACTTCAGATCATGATAAAACCTTACAAGAACTTTGAGAACAACAAAATAGAGTTCCTATCTTCAATGGGAGGTGTTTCTACTATTATAGGAGCCCTCGTGTACTCTACATATGCCCAACATGATATTCTGAATTCAGTCGTGTTTACATCTATAGTCATGATCAACTTAAAATTTCTAATAGAATGGTTGTTCGGACTAATGATGATTTATCAAGAGAAGAATAAATATGCACTCCTTGTGAGTACCAGAGCTCTAACCAATATAGCTCATTAAGTGATTAGCTAAGATTATGTGAAAGAAAATGTATATTTTCAATAACCTTCATAGACCAAAACCAGAAAGTAAGATGACAAAGAAACAGAATACTTCTCTTAAAGTAGTGAACATTCTAATGCTATAGACCACTGCAAAGAAGGCAGAGAGAAATAGAGTTGAATCAACTTCTTTAAGGAAGAGTAAGTAATTCCATCACTACTTAACCTATCCGATTTTTCCCTACTTTACCATCGATAAGAACCTGTGAAAGATTCATACTATTCTGGTTAGAATACTCTTTAGTTGACTCTTAACTTACCCAGTTAATAAAATCATGATATATCGACATAGGAGTTTACAAGAGACCCAAGCTCATAAGGAAGAAAAGGAGGTTTAAGAATACAAAAAGACGTAGGAAAATACAGAAGACCATGCAGTCTCATCGTCCAGATTTTAAGTAAAACGATGCTTATCTTTAGAATTGCTGAACAAGGTATTAAATCTCTCCATGCTTTCCTTGAATACTTATCAAAGGTCAATAGGTTTCTAAACTTAATAGAGGATCAATTTTATTCAAGATTATGAACCTCTAAATAGGGTGCATTGCACCTGAAGAGCTGGTACCAAATCCTGCTGATTATCTCAGGAGCTTCAAAGGATTTATAATTTATCACAGGTCTTATACTTTAGAACAGAGGATTGACTTACTTTCTTGTCTGAATTAAATTGGAGACTTCTTGAGTTAAAACGATACTTATGTGTATTTAGGTCAAGTATCAATTAAGCATTTTAGACTTTTAAATCCTTTAATTTTAGAATGGGATATAAACCTACTTCTATGTAATAGTTATTAAATATACTAAACTTTCGCAATGCCAACAAGAAGGCTTGTTAGAGCTAAATTTTCATCACTAAAAGCACTTTTCTCAACAATAACTTTTGGTTTACAATGTATATTTCCTTTCTGAGTACCTCTTTCCCCAAATTTTCATCCTGCTGCTAACTCCTTCACCCCTAACACTCCAAAGCCTCCAACAACAGCATTATAATCACCCCCAGTCCAAGCGAGACCTCCCAAAGGCTCATCCAACCCCCAACTTTCCAGTTCCCCCAGTCAACCTAGTTTCCCACCACCCATCGACTCTAATCAGAAAATTCTCTGCAGGTAAAATCCCTAAAATCCAGCTTCCTTCCCTCTTAAGCCTTATTCTCACCTGCTACAGATCTCTCAGAGTCAGATTAAGAGAGCAAGCGCAGGTTGGAATTTTAAGTGTGGATAGGAAATAGTTAACAAAATTTAGAGATTCAAGTACAGATTTTAGGCCTGGGGTTTTGGGGTTTTGGGGTTTTGGGGTTTTGGGGTTTTGGGGTTTTGGGG